AGGGAGAACAGAATCCCAAACCAAACGTACTACCCGAGTGCACACTATGGAGTAACCACACTGCCACAGCCACTGTCTCCCCTTCTCTCTCTCATAATAATGTTAGTTTAGACACCATTGCTTCCAAGCAGTTCCTAATTAATATTTTCAGGTACCAATGCACAAGTCAAGGTTCTTAAAGAAGCTAAGAAGGAAAGATACTTTAAATGAAGACATTCCAAAAGAAGGGTGATTGCCTGGATATCTCGCATGAATGTTTAATCAGCTGTGCAGTTTTCTTCTTAATACATAAAAAAGTTAAACCAAAATGCCAGCTTGAAGCGGACAACTGACTATGACACAAAACAGACTCCCAAAACCAAACACTTCACCAATGGAAGAGGCCAAAAGGAATCTACCATACTATTCTCTGAAATAAATGAAAATCATATTCAGGAAAACAGAAGTGAGACTTACAGCTTTAATGCAGTGGCAGTCAGCTGGCAGGTTGTGATCTTAGAACCTTTTAAGGCAAGAAGCTATTGGAGGAACTTAGATTTAATCTTGTAAGCTTTCCATAAGCAATTCATCATCTCTGCAAGGCAAGAGCCTGCTTCTACAAAACCAGAATGCCCATTATGGTCTCAGTAAAACAGTGCCTACGGTGCTCATATTCTCTGTCTGGGTGCTCAGTGGTGTCTCAAAAGAAATTAAAAAGATAAAGCACCAAAACAAGATTTCAGGCCTATGAGGTAAAGCCCTTCTTGTAGAGACACAATAAAGACCTTCCTAGTCTGTGACAATGGCACAACTGAATGGATCCACCCCAGGACAGATCCTCCTGGAAGGAAGGAAAAAGGAGAGGATAGAAAGAGGAAAAGCTGCAGACATTAAGAGAGTGTAATCTCCAAGCTCCTTAATATCTATATTCTGCCAGGCAGCCCACTCTCAAAACCAGACATAAGAGTCAACCACAGTCACACCTTTAGCCTTGGCTTGAAAGCCTTTATAGAACTGTAGTGAAGGATTTGAGCAAGGCTTTCAGACAGTGAGGTGGTGCACTGTCCTATATATCTGCTTTTCAGTCTGACAGATAAAACGAACCTGTATTTGTTCCCACGCTTACTGCAGACAAGGGACATAGATGGCCAGAATTCATCTGCAGAAACACCTTCACATTCTGATTATGGTGACAGATTTAGAATTACACACGGAAAAAATTAGCTTGCGCTATCCAAGGAGTCCTAGAAGCCTCACCCACAGTCTGCAGCATCAGAGCTGTTCTAGACTAAAGGAAGTCTCTAGAAGAGACCCAGTCAAACTTGTTGAAGAAGTCAAAAGAAAAGATAGTTTAGCTCTAAAAATCTTAATCTACTATGTGATCCAAACATAAGTCACTCAAAAAAGATCTTGAAATTAGTAAGTTCAACATCTATGACTTGTCTATAAAGAATCTATTTTCACCAGTTATGCTGGAATGCTAAGGTGACGTCATTCTCCATTCAGAGATTCTTATCCCAGAATACAAGAAGCCTTTTCATTTTAGTTTAGGATTCTGCTAAAGCTAACCTTAAAACCCACTCATATCAATTTATCTGTTAATAACCTAATATTACAACCCGTATATATATTACAAACTGTATTAAATGCTTTCATGCAGACGTGACTAAGTTTACAGTTGTCAGTTTTATTCAACAAGCAGTAAGATGACAACATTGACAGGTTAAACACAGGCAACGCACGTAGAGAGATAGCATCTTATTAGACCAAATAACACAGTTATAGCTTGTGTCTCCCTCCTCCTGTCCTGTCCATAAAAGCTGCTGTAATAGAAGGATATTACTAATATCTATTAAAAACACTCTAATTCACATTCTTAGACCAACACTACTGCTATTGCTATCACAAACTAAATGTATTTATGAATGAATTCAAATGAGATTCTGGAGAAACTGCATGGAGGAAATGACACCGTTAGACTGACACACAGGAGGAGAACCTTTAGCTTAAATTTAGAGGCCATACGCACACAAACAGTGCAGAGGCCAAGTTTTTCATGGCCCTTACCAAGTCATTAGGTAAGCAAAGCTGAAAAGATACAATAACGAATCTTAGAGGAGAAAAAAACCTCAGAACCCCACAGAAGACGAGAGCTGAGGAAGGCTTGTCTCCCAGGCACCCTGCACAAGCACAGGGCTCACTCTTGCCCAGAGCTCTATGTATAGTAAAACCAATTGGTTTTAATGCCCTTATACCTTTCTCCTCATCTCTAGGAAAACGAAAGAAGAGATAGTATTCACCAATTATGTTAATCAGTTTAGAAAGATAAAGCATCAAGGCAACTTGCTATGGCTTTTACATTAAAAAAAAAAAAAAAAAAAAAAAAACAGTGAACTCGCAGAAAAAAATGGAATCCATTTAAATTAACTAAAATTAACTTAACTAAAAAAAAAACACCACAACAATTTTTCACATAATATGTACACAATTACTTTTCTCCCCCACCCAATA